TATCCTTTATTTTTACAGCATCCGTATTTTAAGGCCAATTTTCAATAATTTTCTTTTATCTGGGTTTGTCTGATATTTACCCATCATTAGACAAATGGACTTATTTTTCTACAGTATCACATAAATAATGCTATGTTCACCCCATTGCTTACACTAAAAGTATTATATTATATGACTACAATTTCTATTTTGTGGCATAAGATTAGTCTGCTTCTTTAGGACAAAATTTCCTATAGTTTTTAATTTTAAAGTTAATTCCACTATATCTAATAAATATCTGTAGAGGAAGATATTTTGAAACTCTATGAAAAATATTTTATCTCCATTTACTCATAACTGTTAACACCCATTGAGGTTTCTTGCCTGAATCAAAATTATATTCTAATGATGATTATTTCATAATTCCATTTTCTTATGTGTTTATTTCATGCTTTGAGAAAGCAGTTTCTCTGTTATTTATCCATTCAAATTGTAATCACTAATGGAATCCAATTTTATTTCATGGGTTATAATCCATTGCCACCATAATTTACTTTCATGTTTAAATTTCCTAACTATGCCACTGAGAGATCCTTCAAGCTACTTTGTATGCCCTTTTAACAAGCCTTACCACTCTGTGAGACTCTCTTTCTTTGTTGCTTAATGTGTTTTTTACTCATCTTGTACTTTCCATAAATTATCTTCATCTGTTATTTAATGAGCCCTAATTTCTTTTCATGGAAATTATATTTTAGACCATATTAGTGCTTCTAAGTTTTCTAAGTGGTCAAAACTAAGTTAACTGGGTAAGAATATACATATGCATTTATATCACAAATTATGCACTGTTAAATTTAGGTCAATATAAAAGTACTCACTTTCATAAAATTTCAATTGTGATAGTGCTTAATATGTGTTATCAAATTTCTTAAATGGCTAGTAAAGTATAACATCTAGAATAGATCAGTTGATGTTGTCACACTCAATATTGTCTCTTTTAGACTGAACTGTCTATTAGTGAAGGGAACTTGAAATGCAATACTGAGTGTGCAGAGACATTTAAATGCAGCAAAATTGTCAAAGTAGTTATTGCTAGTTCACCATTTATAGGTAGCATAGTTCAAGTATTGGTTAAGCATTGGGCCAATGGTCAGACAGCTAGAAACTACAATTTGTTTAAGTTTAGTGTTGTTGAAAAGACATTATACCTGACCAATCCTTGTTGCATAGAAAGTACATAAAATGGAGGTTCATTTTTATGCTAATCATTGTGGAGATTTAGATTTATTAGTTCTACAAGTTAACATTTTGTAGACCTGGAAAACTAGAACTGGACATTAACTAAACAGTATTTGCCAAGCTACATGTCATAGATTCAGTAGATACATGTAATGTGCAACATCATCATGCCAATTTGTGTGGGAAAATAGAGGATGGCCTGTAGTATTCAGTCTGCCAAATTGTATCTGTGGATTTTGACATCTTCATAAACTGTTTCATAACAAGAGCCAAATATTCTTATTCCATTATATATAATAGTCACAGGAATAGAGAACATTTGAGAATTGTCCAAAAACTTGGCTTATTTCTTTGACTATTTATAGTAAAAGGTAAAATAACACTGATGAGCATTGGTTACATCCCAGTAGATCAGAGTTAAAATCTAATTCTACTACTTTTCTAATTAAAAAGGGCTAGATAAATGGCAGTTTTGTAAAATACATGGAATCAACATGCCTGATCTGAACTTGTGAACAAAAACCAGGGAGTTCTAAGTTCTTTTGAAAATGATGTGAAGTTTAGTGTCTCATGTTTCTTTTAATAATTAATCTATATCCTTCTAATTGCTGCTGTAAATGACTCTTTTTGAGAATGCCATGACATATCCACCAAAGGACTTGAAAATGAACAATACTGTCTTGTGCTGTAAACTAAAAAGACCAATAGAAAATCAGCTAGAAGTATGTACTCCTGAAATAACACAATCAAATGGAATCACCTGAGTTAAGACTTGGCAATTAGAAATGTGAACACACTTTATAAGTGTCTCAGATGAGGGACAACAGAGGCACAGGCCTCAGAACTGAACATTCGTCTCATGTGGTGAGGAAGGTCTTCACAGTCAACTAAGAAATGCTTTCTAAAAGCAAAATCCCTCCTCTCAAGACATTGTAAATCTTCTCATGCTCCATACAGACTGTAGTAGAGGGACAGCCTGTAAATTTTTATACGTATTGTGATCACCTAGTCTGCCTCCCATGACAACTGCTGGTGTTGAGCTAATGAGAAGCAACTAGCACTGAGCTTTAGACAGTCATTTCAGTAAACACAGAAAGTAACACAGCTTCTGAGAGACGAATCTCTGAATACTAAACCTGCAGGATTTCACACCAATCTTGGCTCAAAGCCAGCTTGCCAAGGCAGGGTGCCTATTTGACACTGCTTGGACATCAGTCAATCAGCCTTCTTCTGGGACTCCAGCATGCATCTATACTCAGTTTTTAAACTTGCTCAACATGTAATAAGAAGTCTTAGAAAAGTTGAGGGGACATTTTCCTCTTTATTCAGACAAAATACCCTGAGAGGTCACCAAGATACAGTGTTTCCAAGGGATTAGTCTTGACTAGGCCATAGTGGACTCCAGAGTTAGTACAGTGGGACACACAGTATACAGCAGGAACCCAGGAGGTAAAGATGAATCAAAGTAAGCTGTGAAAGTCATAGGTAGCCCTTTTAGGAATGATGGCTAGAATCCATATGCCTCAGAAAATTGCCTCTCCAAGTCTTTGCTCATACTAGTAACTGAGTTCACAATTATCATGCAAGACTCACACTTTTCATTGCTTTTTACAGATGAATGAGTTGAAATTTACTTGATAACATGATTTGAGTTAATGGTAAGCCCCAAATTATACCCTAACCAAAAGCATGCAGCATTTTCATCTTACTTATTTATCCTTTATCCACCAGTAATACGGCTTTACTATTACTGCTGGTTGCAAGTTACTCATGCACTTATCAAGTATTTGAGGGAAACCAATATACTGAACATATGGCTAGACATTAGGAAGCAAAATGGAGAATTTTGGCTGTAGAAATGAAGGACTGTTTCTTGAAGAAATGAAAGGTCTGATATTCAAAATGTCCACAATATATCAAATGAAGTTAAGGATGAATATGACAGTTAAGTGAACACCACTGAGGTCTTTGCTGCCCCAATGGTGTAGAATGGGTTAATTTAATAATGACACTTTTCTCTCTTACATTTGCTCTACTGTTTAAGGTCAAATAAAGTAGGGCATCTCTGCTGGACATTAGTGGAAGGTCAGCATGGCTTGAGATATAAATTCTTGCTTTGTTTCTTTTTCGAGTTTCGCTTGGCATATATGACACGTCCATAGAAGGATGAATCATAGATTTAAAGGATTGCTTTAAAAATAATGAGCTTTATGATATTTATACCTGCCATTTCAGTAACAATTATAGTGTGTGTGAGTGTATGTGAGTGTGTGTGTGTGTGTGTGTGTGTGTGTGTGTGTGCGCGCGCGCGCACACGTGTGCGCTCATGTGATATTATATATGTCTGAGGCATAAATTCACATTTGTTCATTGTGTGCATGAGTAATGTGATGCTCCCATATGGAAGCCAGAGAGGTTAATTTCAGGCACTTGATTGCCACCCATTTTATATTTTGAGACAGGATTTCCAACTGAACATGGAGGTCACCAATTCAACTGTATTGGCTGACCAGTGAGCGCCAGTGATATGCCTACCTCTGCCTTCTTTGCTCTGGGATTTTAGACATATCAGTGCATCTAGGTATTTATGTGGGTGTTGGGGATCTAAACATAGGTCATGGTTGTGTGGTACACACTTTACAAACTGAGCCACTCCCTTTCCCCTCTTTCCTTTGCCATCCTTTCTCTCCCTGCTCCTACTAAGCCCCCCCCACTTCAGCCCCACCGTATATCCCTGGCTAGCTTTAGACTCTGGATGTTCTCGTCTCTACCTCTGAAGTACTGAGAATACTTCCCTGCCCAAGGTGATGGCCAAATGTCAACTAGTTCTGATTATCATTGCTTACATTGTATTTTTCTCAAAGCCAATATTTAGGATAAAAACAATAGATTAGTCAAAAGTGACTCAAAGGTATATTGAAATTGACTTCACTGATAAATATTTCTATAGATGTTCTTAAACCAAGAAATAATTATGGATGACATGCAATGCTTGAGACTCAGTACTGTGAATGAAATTTTAAGTAAGGCAAATAGGAATCTCATACCAAAAACATGGTCCAGCAGCACACCATGTTGTGCCAGCTTGATTCCTGTGTCTCAGTGGTTCATACTGTGACTTTCTCAAACATGAGCTTTTGAATCAAACGTGTACAATTTTTAATCTGTATCAAGAGATTCCTAAAATGTTCACCTGTGTATAGAGGAAAGGAACTGCATGAGGTAAGACTGGAATATCAAGAGTACATGATTCCTTTGTTGAACACTTTCCATTTCAATATACAAACCCCTGCTTATTACCCTCAGAGACCCAGTGCACTAATTACATGCACAGAAATATAAACATGTAAAAGATCAGTGAAAGGATTTGTTTCTGGTTGTCTCAAAGTTCCAGAATCCTTGTAACTAAAACATTACAGTTACAGTGATAATTTGCCTCCTATTTGCTACTTATTCTTATGCATTATATTTTAGGATCCATTTTATAATGTAGGCATTAAAGAGAGTTTCAATGGTTTGGTATGACTGTCGATGGATACAGGTTTACAGATGCAGAAAAAAATCAGGAGATTGGGGTCAACACCTACTCATACTTTGGTGATGTATATAAAATAAGTTCTAAAACTCTCATATGGAGGAATATCTGTGGAGCATCCAGTCACAGGAAGGTTATTGACCTTGATGGAAAATTCATAATGAACTGATTTCTTGCGCTAGAGAACTACTTTGATGAGTTATTGGTGACCACAGTTGTTTGTCTCTGTCTCCTCGGTTAACTTCAGAGCACATTCAGAAAATGAAGGCACCTCTTTACCATCTGCTGACTCCTGTACCAGCCCCACAAAGATGGACTCTTCATATAATAAGACGGCTAAGCAGTGCCTAGAAGAGATATCTGGTAAGTGCACAGCTGAGTAACAGGGAAGTCAAAGCTCAGAGTTTTTGTAATGTCCTTGAAAGTTCATTTTCTTAGGTCATATTTGCCCAGTGATTTTTGCAAAACTGGATTCTGGATATTTCATGGTGCAGCATTTCTCACTTATTTGAATATTCTGCTCAGGATGTTCTCTTTGTTACTCTGAAAAGTGTGATATGAGTGGTGGTTCTTTCAGAACCTAAAAGCATAATTTTATTGAAGTCATTTTCCCTCTAGGGAAACATCTAAGGTGAGTAGGGTGCTCGTTGGATATGTACAGAGATTTGAGATATGCTAAAAATTAAGCACAACTGTGAAGTTTGTTACTAACCCAATCCTGTTCTTTAGTTAGTTATGTGATGTTTATAATATTTCTACATTGTACATCTTGGAGAAAATCTAGTTAAGAAGATGTTTCCTTGTATAAATGTAGGTGATATAAGAAAAATTCCAATTCTCCCAAATACGATTACCAGATTTTTAATTGTATGAAAAGGGATTTTCTGATTGAGTTGAGTATTTTCCCAGCCAGTCAGATAAGCCTAGGGTTATATGGAAAGCCTTTCATATAATTACATATATTTATATAATGTATAATATATTTATATATTTATATTTACTCCCTTATGAGGACCCAGTTTCTTAGAAAACTATACTGTCATTAGTTGGAGAGAGAATTTAAGACATTTTGATAGGGTTGCAAGTAGGTATCATTGTCCTTTTTTCCACCAAATCTCTGGGTTAGCCCTCATATGTTCACTGCCAAGTCCAAAGGCAAAAACTAAGGAACATTTGAGTTTTAAACATTTCTGTATTACTTCAAGGCCTCTAAATCTATTTTAAAGCTCAAAAAAAGTAACAAAATCACAACTTGGGAGGTTAAGAAATGTCTGCACTTTGATAGCCATAAAATCCAATTCAGCAAGCATGAGCCCTTTCTGAAATACCTATCTCTGAGTAGTGACAGAAATGACAAAACAACACTCCAGGTGTAACTTTTGGAATGAAAATGACTGATACCATTAGGCATCTGTGATTTCAGATGGCAAATATAGCACAGGGCCACTACAGGGAGGGAGGATAAATTATGATATGAAGATATCCAGTGATGTATTTATAGACCACAGATATTACAGAGAAATGTCAAGTTGATGTTGTGTCCTGTATTGTGACAAGATAATCTATAAACCATGGTGTCAAGATGCTTCAATTGCAATATTAAATGTGCATGAACATCTGCATTATGACTATGAAGTGCAGTGCTTCAGGCTATAGCTGGAAGTAAACTTGGGTAGAATTTGAATTGTAATCATTGTTTCACAAAGGGACACTGTTTCCTGAAGGTAATATATCATAGAGTAGCTCTGAAGGAATAAATAATCCATATTTAATTTTACAGCTTCTTATTCTGTCTACATTGAACCAGTTTTTATATTTGTAATTAGTATTTCTAGTTAATGTTCTGGTTCTTTAATAGAATATTTGAAAATATAATAAAAACCAGATATTAGTGTAATAACGTAATGGATTTAATAGAAGGATTGGTGTTTTGTAGAAATAGGGGTGGCAAATTTGAGGAAGGAAAGTAAACAGAAAATAGATGCTGAATTGAGTCCCATGATATTATGTCATTTTTATTGTTTATCTGGTAAAATTGGCTTTACCTTCTTAATCACTGTTCCTCCTTCCAGTGCAACCCATTCCTTAATCTGTGGTATTTTAAGGCTTTGAATAAATGGTTCCCCCAAGAACTTAGCCTCTTCCAGGTACCTTGTCTCACAAACTCCTGAGCTACACATTGTCATAGTCAGTGCCTAGGCCTGGGCATCATCATTTTGACTATTCTTTTAATATATATATATATTGTTCATTGTGAATGTCTGTATATGGTATCTGTCCCTGGTACCCACAGGGGTCAGAAAACAGTGACAGATCTTCTAGAACTGAAGTAACAGCTTGCTGTGTACCACTACCGGAAACTGTAGTTGGACCCTGGTCCTTTAACCACTGAACCATCTCTCCGGCTCCATAAATCCTATTCTTGCTGCTTGACATTCCCTTTGTTCCTACTCTTCCCGCTGTTCCCTTAACTCCACGATAATTCTGCTAGGATTTACAGTTTATGAACCTCATGTTTTCTTATTGCCCATACAAACTGTGTATGTCTTCTTCCTTCTTGATCAGCTTAGTAATTCTGGTAAGGGAAGAGTTGTCCTTCCCATCCCCCACACATCCCTAATTCCTTTGTCCTTTCTTATTTTATCAAAACAACCAGTGTAGTTTTATTAAATTCCTCACCTAGTCCATATCAATGATGAATGAGTAAGATGAAATCTACATGCTGGTTGAGGTGACTCACCCTATACTGATCAGTTCAGCCTTATAACTTTCCAACAGCCCCAGTAAACATGGTTTCCAAATCTGCTCAGTCTCTCAAATTCTCAGTAAAATATTACCCCTTTCATCTCAAAACTCCAACACTGCCTGTCCCAGTCTTTTTAACTGTTAACCTTGATGCAACTTTACTGAATGGGATGCAGACAAAGGAAGTCCATGAACTCTGCTTCCATGTCTACCCACTCAGAGTGTTTACATCTACTTAGTACCTGTTTCCTTTGCTTTCCTTAGACTGTCTTCTCTTTCACATTCTAATACACCCCGTCTTTACCAAACCATCTCTTTAGGCCATGAAGTGATGATGTATCTCTAACTTCAATATAACACAAATAGCTTCCCCTTTGCCTTCCAACACAGCTATAATTTAGTTCTTTTGTCCTATACTGAGTAGCCTCCACACCAGCTGCTAATCCTTTCTCATTGTTGCCCTAGGTCACTCTAACTAGCCTTTTCACTTCATGTCTGCACTGAAATTGCTGTTAATTGAAGTTGACATTGTTGGAAACCTGGTGAAATCCATGGATTATGCCTCATGGCTCATTTTACTCACCTCTGACCAGGAATCTGCTCTCTTAGAGATAATCCCTTTAGAAAAGGAAGTTTCTGGCTTGATCTTGAAATTCCATTGATTTTCCCCAAACCTCAGTTTGTTCTTTCCTGGTAACCTTTACTCATTATGCATTTTCACCCTAATTTCTTATCATTGAAACAATTCAGCTTTCTTTGAATAACTTTTTTATACATTCTCCCTTGGTAAGCGACAGTAACTCATGGCTTTGGATGTGACCCATATGGTGATAGCTCACAAACATTTCTCTCCTCTCATCCTCTCCCTTTCAACCTGACTCAACTGTCCAATTTCTTACAGATATCTACTTAAATGTCTCACAGAGACTTCCAAAATGCTATATTTAAAACAAACCCTAAAGCTACCTTCAAACACCCTTTGTTTGCATTTTCTCCATTTTGGTGAATGGTAATGAAAGCCTCTAGTGGCTCAGGCCTGAGACTTATAATCATTTGTGATGCCATATATCCTCTAACACCTGAGGACTAGTCCATTGCACTATGTTACTGACCCTGTGTGAATTGTTTGCTCTCTGCACTCAGAAAGTGGGAATAAGCTTTTGATATATTTCTCGATATTTGATGTTTTGATATTTTGCTTAATCTCAGAAATTCAGAAGCTCAATAACTACTGATGACACTGTATACACCATTCCATCAGAACTAAAGTGCTGTTCTGGTAACATAACTCAATGAGAGAATACTATCTCTCTGTCAAGTGATCATCCATAAATTGAATTTAAACTCTGCAAACAAAATACTAATGTGCTAAATAGTTAAAAAGAGTAGAAAACTTTTATTTTGAACAGATATCTAGAACAGAGCCCCTTCTTCCCATGTCTGTTTTTGTTGATTTTATTAACTGGTGTATCCCAGTTTGTTGTTGGTTCATAAGTCCCTCCCAATTACTGTTTGTGAAATTAGTAAAATGCAAATATTATTCATATGGGACCCTTTATGAGGAAGACCATTCCTTGGGGTTTCTATTGCAGTGAGGAGAAAGCATGACCATGACAACTCTTACAACAAAATGTTTTAATTGAAGTGGCAGCTTATAGTTCAAAGGTTCAGTCCATTGTCATCATGGCAGGGAGCATGGTGGTTTGCAGGAAGACATGGTACAGCTATTCATTATCAGAAGGCAACAAGAAGTAGACTGAGTGTCACACTGAATGAAACTTGAGAAAGGATCCTCAAAGCCTGCCCTCACAGTGACTCATTTCCTCTAACAAGACCACACCTCCTAGCCGGGCATTGGTGGCACACGCCTTTAATCCCAGCACTCGGGAGACAGAGGCAGGCGGATCTCTGTGAGTTCTAGGCCCGCCTGGTCTCCAGAACGAGTGCCAGGATAGGCTCCAAAGCTACACAGAGAAACCCTGTCTTGAAAAACAAACAAACAAACAAACACAAAAAGACCACACCTCCTAATAATGCCACTCCCTCTGGAGGCCATTTTCTTTCAAACCACCACAGAGCCCTGTATCCAACATGCAGGAAAAAAAAAAAAAAAGAGATACAATGGAATTTGGAAGACACTCCGGTTGATAGGACTCATGGTTATAGAGGGTGATTAACACTCAGTGAAAACTCTGACTGGTTTATGGATTTGCAAGTTGACACTTCCCCATGAGGCTGCCATGTTTGAATACTTGTTCCCTACTGGTGGTGCTACTCAGTGAGGTTGTAAGACCTTGAGGAGGTGGAGACTTGCCAGAGGATATGGGTTACTAGGGCCAGGCCTTTCAGTTTCATAGTCAAATTTATTTCCTGTTCTCTATAGTTGACTATCAAAATCTGTGTCACCAGTTTCCTCCAGCTGCTGTCATACCTATGGCATCTGATGGAATGCCTGCTTCCAATTGAGAACCAAACTACACTTTGTCATCCTTAAGTTATTCTCTTGTTTGCTATTTTGTCTCTGCAATGAGGAATGTAACTAATGCAGAGTTGGATGGAAAAACAAAATAATTTTGATTCTATTATCACTAAATTTTTTAAATATAAGGTATGAAGCT